ATTTGTTGAATAAATGTATAAATTCTTTTATAGAAATTATGAAAAAAAAATGAATCTGTATCTCCATAAATTATTATATATCCAAGACTTTTAGCATATTCTATTACTAATCTAAGACAATAACGTGCAAATGCTATTACAGATAATGAGATCTCTTTCTTATAAAGAGGTGAAAATATATAACCGTTTTCACCATATATAGAGTTTGCAAATACTTTTAATGCATTAGATAAAGATTCATAATGTTTTCGTAATGTTTCAATCAACTGATTTATTTTTATATTCTTCTTAGCATCACCTCTTTCAGATAATAATTCTCTACACATCAATAGCATCAATCCCATTTTTTTTGGATCATTTTCATGCTTCTTATATTTTTTATTTTTAGCATACTAACAAAAGTTTTTTTTACAAATTTGACTATAGTCATTAACCAAACACACTCTAATTTAGAAATACAAGATCTTTAGCTTGAAATTTTGCTTATAAAATAATCTTTGCGCTATAAGGCCATACAAAGTTAATTAATTATTTTTTGTAACATGTGAATTTAAAAATGACTCACTCACTCGGCTTTTAATTTTTAATTATGAAAATTTTAGAAAATATATATAATATTTTTTAAAAAAATCTACTTAGAAATATTTATATCAATAATATAAAATTTTTTCTCGAAAATTTACAAAAGCTGATCTGATTAAATTATGAGAAACAACTAATTAACTTAATTAGTTATTTTTTATAATCTGATTAGATCAGCTTTTGTAAATTTTTGAGAAAAAATTTTATAAGTTATTGATATGAATATTTCTGAGTGAGTTTTTTTAAAGATTAAAAAAATATTATATAAGTTTTTTAAAAAAACTCATCTGAAAATATTCATATCAATAACTTATAAAATTTTTTCTCGAAAATTTATAAAAGCTAACCTAACCAAATTATAAGAAACAACTAATTAAGTTAATTAGTTGTTTTTAATAATCTGGTCGAGTCAGCTTTTGTAAATTTTTAAGAAAAAATTTTATAAGTTATTAAGATGAATATTTCTAGATAGGTTTTTTTAAAAATTAAAAAAATATTATATATGTTATTTAAAATTTTTATAATTAAAAAATTAAAAGCCAAGTGAGTAGGTCATTTTTAAATTCACATGTTACAAAAAATAATTAATTAACTTTGTATAGCTTATACTAATTTTCATGATGATATTTATAGGACAAAGGTAAGTATAATCACCATTCAAAAAAATCATATTATTTTATAGTAAAAATTTGTATTGTTAGGTTAGTATTATTTCATTAGGTTAGAGTTCAAGGATATGATTTATTACAAAAACTTTCTGTAAATTTTTTTTATTAATATGCAGAAGACAGTTCATAGATTAAATTTTGAGCTATAAAACTATCACTATAATAAGATTACCTTTTTAGCAAGTTACTCTTTCTAGACCTATAATAACAATAAGTCATGATTTTTTTTTAGTTTTAAAAAAATATTTATTTTTGCTAGAAATATTACTAAATAATTGTTTTTAAATACATGCATTAATCTCAAATATAACAATATATACTATTTTGTTTAACAAATAATAATTTATGAACGGTTTCAGGCTCTAAATGATTTTTTTAGAGGTAATATAGTTTCTTGCATCAGAAAAAAGACGTTTGCTTAGAACAGAAGTAGCAGAGATGGACAAATATTTACACACTATTCTACTTAGAATAAAAAAAGAATATTACTTAGTACATCACTATTCATAAATATCAGTATTTGGAGGCAGAATTGGTGTAATTGATATGTTTAGGTAATTGTCAATTTCTATTTTTTGATTAATTTGAGTTTGACTTTGATCTAAACTAAATAAGATTTTGTCTATAAAGAAAAGAGTTGATGAAAAATATGTCATTTTAGAATGTTCAACAGATTCTTTAGTTATAATTACATTCTTCCAAGTTCCAAATTCAGTTCGTAGCTTATCAATTGTGTCATTTCATATTATATTTGACTATACTCTCATTGCTTTTAATCTTAGATCTAACAAAGTAACAATTAGACTGATAACTTCTAGATCACCCCAATAATAGCAAAGAGAATCATAGATTACTTTTCAATATTTAAGATTATTTGTTGTGTTGAAAGTGGCTAACTAGATTGGGAGGATCTTTCTTGTGAAATATTCAGAAAGACACAGAAGTCTAAACTGGTAGAGGGCTACGGCTAAAACTAGGTTTGTATGAACATCGAATAAGAGTATATGCAAGCTAGAATAGGGATATAGTATAGTATAGTTAGATATCATGATACCTATCTGTTAGGAGATGTTGAAGTGAGACTTATTTAGATAAGATCTAGGCCCATAATAGTAAAGTTTGCAACTAATATTAGCTTGGATGCTTCCCAATATGGAATAACATAGGGTTAGGGTTAACTATAAGAGTAATATTTGCGATAAGTAGGATAGAATTAGAGAGTTTAAATAGGGAATCTTCTAAGAGATTTCAGATATAGCAGCTAGTGTAGAACCTTCGAGTGGACTACTTAAAATAGACAATCTAAAATTATACATATGGCTAGTTATACTCTCACAATATGTATCACTTCCAAAATTTATAAAATTAATAAAGTTAGCTGATAGTATTTGTATAAAGTAAAAAAAAAA